GAAATCAGAGAAGTCACAATTATTCACATATAAAATTACAACACGCTTGTGTTAGTGCTGGCTATAACTGAGACTTCTAATAGAGTACACTGCTGAAGAAAGACCATTAGAACAATTAATATTAACCTAATGGTTTTCCTTTCCAAAGGGAATTGGCTTAATGGTTACCAGAGACCAATAGTTTCATATAGGACACTTTCAAATCCTATTAGGAAACCATCAAATGCATCTGGTATCAGTCCCAAAACACCTGAATCAAGATGCAAAATAACCTCTTGTTTCAAAATAACAGGGAAAATGGAAATAGGGAACGTCTCAGAATAATAGTCAAAAATGGATGCTGAAATGCAAATTCAAGAAAAGGTCACTGCTTCTGTCTTTGTTATTCTTGGATATTCTTAACCCCTTAAAATCCCAGGTTTATGACATACTAAGGCTTATTACTCAGTAACTACATGGACTGCAATGCAAACTAGCATTAAGCAGTTAAGCAGTAGAAGTAGTAAGTAGTTGAAGTAGTGTAGTAAAACTTTGGGCCAGCTGGTGGGCCCTGGCCATTTAAGAGTTTAACTAACTAGAGATGCAGCACAGGTCTGCCTCAGGGTGGCAATGTACCAAATTGGTATAGCCTAGCAGCTGGAACTATACCTCTGAAAAACCTAAATTACACAATATGCCATAATATATTTGTAAATCTGAAAACTTGCCCAATTTCCCAAGAAACTGCTGAAATTGAATGTGAATTGTTAGTAATTTCTCAAACCAAAGACCAAAGAGGAGATGTGTAAGAACGCTCTTAATGTGTGGAAAAAGGCAGTGCCAAGGAGCATTTTCAGAAGAAGAGTTGTTAAACCAAACATTATGTTGCCATTGAAACTAGCATCAGCGCAGCTATGGCAAGTGAGTTAGCAGCTAGCCAACATAGGACCCCCCCAAATACCAGGGGGTATTTTGCACCCTTAGAATTCTTTACTCTGTGATATAAACCCATCAAAAACACAAAAAATGCCATTAGTTGTGCTTATAACACTACATAGTGCTTTTTTTGCAATGCCTTTTGTAAAAAATGCAATATAAATAAACTTTGACATTAATGACTATTGGACATCACCAACTAGAACCAGGAACCAGAAACTTTTAATGGTTTCTATTATTTTTATTCAGCAGGGTAGTTCATCAAAAAAAATCTACATCGTTAATTTCACCCTTAATCCAAAAGTAGTTGATCAGCCAAAACATGTTTGATGTTTGGAGTTTGCTTCTTTAGTTTTGCACTTAAGCTACGAGGCTAATGCAGCTAACAAGTAATGGAAGTTTATACCCTACAAAGTAGCATGGTGCTAACTGCTAACTGTGCCATATTGTTAAGTAATCTCAAATAGGCTTGCTTATGTGATTTCTGACACTGTGTGACATCCTGTTATCTATAAACATGTTCAAAAATGATGGCTGCTACTTCTATTTTTAGATATGTGATGTATTTTTGTCCTTATTTATAGGTAACAGTGCGTCATACAGTGTCAAAAACCACATAAGCAAGTCTATTAGAAATTACAAAACAGCTCAACTTGGTTTGAGAGTTTGTGATGGCTTAGGAATGCAGTTAGCGCTATGCTAATAGGTGAGGTAGAAGCTTCCATTACTTGTTAGCTACATTAGCCTAATAGCTCCAGTGTAAACCTAAGGACAAAAAAGAACAGAAACTTCAGACACTAAACATGTCTTGGCTGCATTTGGGGTGAAGGGAAATGTGTAAAACTGGACCTTTCGCTGAATTCTTCCTTTAACACCCAGAACTGGTGGTGCTCTGTGCTAAGAAGCATGTGTGAGATTTTGCTGATGCAGTACGCATTTATCTACTTTAAATAAATCCTCTAATTTATTCTGTGTGCAAATTGTTCCAGCGCTAGCCAATTAATCGCTTTTTATTTATTAAAAGTGTTGAATCTATTTATTAAGGCGATGAAATATAAATACATTTGCATGTATCATGATTAAGGTGGTAAATAATGGATTCAATTCCACTGTAGCTGTTTAATCTGAGTGTATCGCAGATGCTGCTAATCCCACAGGAGCTGAGTTGTTACCAGTATACAGAAAGCTCAAAGACAGGGAAACAAGAGCTGTATCATTTTGTAATACCCAAGAATACAAAACATTGCTTAACTAAGGAGAGGATTCTGGGCCAGATTCTAAATCATAGCAGTGAAAATTACAATACACAAATTACATCTCTTTTGATTAGTGATAGGGCTGCATGTTTTGGTGGAAAAAAAGCTAATTGTAGCAAAACAGATTTGCCGCTTAAGAAATAAATGCTACATTTGTTTCAGAAGTAGATGTAATCCACCCTGAAAACATAGAGGAGGTGGATGTAATTGGTCTCAGAAGCTTCTTACAGAAATTGTCCATGAACGCTTATATTATTTAACCTGAGGCATTTATTATTTAACCTGAGGCTGGTTAGCTACGTAGTAACTCTAACTGTCATGTTTCTTAAGATGCTGTTTCTTTGAGGGATTAACATTAGCTAGATAAGCAACATAGTGACATGTTTTAGTAACATTAAACATAACACTTTTCCAAAACAAGGTTATATGACAGAAGCATGTACTGTATCTATGTTATTTAGCTAGCCAACATTAATCCCTCAAAAAAAAGAAATTGCATATAAACAGTATTGTGCAAACATTTTAAGTACCTGAGAAAAATTAGACTTAAACTATTTTTCTGGGCAGTGTGAGTTTATTTGCTCAGATTTTACATTTTACAATGTGATTTTACATAACTTAATGTGTTTGCTTGACTATTTCAAAAGCTCTCTTTGAGGAAGGCCAGTAATAATTGTAGCTAATATTATATTAAATATATTAAAACAAATCAGGTGTGCTGTTGATGGAATTTAACAAGTCAGTGTGATAGCTTGAAGCATCTAGGATAAATCTGGAACCAAAATATCTCAAAAACCTTTTTTTTTTGTACTTTTTACTGTGTTTATGTCTACTTGCATTTATTCTAATGATATATTGTGTTTTCACAGGCAGAAAGATGCTTATAGACAAGATGGCTTCACATAATGTGGTTAGGTACCTAAGTAGGATTTTGCACAACACTATATATATATATATATATATATATATATATATATATATATATATATATATAGTATTGATTGGTTCCACATTAATCCTGGATGCATCCAGCTGTCACACTGGCTTGTTAAACTCCATCAACAGCGCACCTGATTTAATTTAATGAAGGTCTGATTAGACAAACCAGGTATTGGATGATAGTTACAATTATTGCTGCACTTCCTCAAAGAGAGCTTTTGAAATGGTTAAGCAAAGACATTGAGTTATGTAAAATGACTACTTATTGTATTAATACTTTTTAATTTATATTCAATTTCTTTGTTTCTTGAGAGATTAATATTGGGTAGCTAAATAACATAGATGCAGTACATGCTTCAGTTATATGGGCTTGTGTCGGCAAGTGTTATGGAGCTCCATCTAAAACCTCTGGGATTAGTTGGGGTGGCATTTGTTATCCAGAACTAGTCATCTAACATCAGTATCTGACCTCACTAATGCTCTTGTAGCTGAATGCAATCAAATCCTCACTGCAGTGTTTGAACATCTACAGTAAAGAATTTCCAAAAGAGTAGAGGCTATTACTGCAGCAATGGAGGGACAAACTCCTTATTAAATCCCTTAATTCCAAACCTTTAGACATATAGTGTATAAATCAGTGATGTCAATGTAATGCAATTACATATTACTACTGTATTCATACAAGGAGTAAACACACATAAACACAGTCAGAGCTTTGATGCATACACAGCATCCTCTGAGCTTAATGATGTCTTTTATGAGTTTGGGTTATGATCTACAGCACCACTGGTCAAGCACAGTTAAAATACACCGCTAGTCATAAAGCTACTGACTGCACTGCACTGCAGAATAGATTATAATTAAGCTAACATAATTACCTTTGATAGAGTGTCAGAAAAGAGAATCATATAAATCTTATAAATTGAGCAGCGGGATCTTTTTTTAAGTTACCACATTTCTATAACTTCACTATAAAAGTGTATAGGTCAGCTGTATGGTTTAGTGAGGCGTTATATTAAATTTAAAAAGAGGCTTGTTCAATTCAATTATCATTCATCAGGAAATGAGTCAATGAATGGTTCAATCATTAATCATTTTGATTCAATTAGATAGTTTTGTCATGATTCAGAACTGCTGTCAAAGTACACAAATGTAACTGAAGTAAGTATTTACACGGTAGTTAAATATTTACAATTAAAATAATTCAGTGAGCTTCAAAAGACTTTGACAAAATGTAAAACTGGAAGTAAGCTTTTTAGATGCATTGGCCTCGAATGTGATTTCTGCTGTCACTGTGCTACAGACTGTTGTTGAAAGAGACAGATGAGGAGTGTGGGATCAAAACTATGAAACATACTTTACAGCTTTTCTGACATGAAACCCGCTCTTTTCCACTACAATGCTACTGAATCCACGATAACTAACTTAACGTGGCTAGCTAATGTGCTTCATTTAAAATCAGCTAGATGAATCATTTTGAATTGATTAGATCCTTTTGTTATGATTTAGAATTGTTGTCAGAAATACACTAAATACACAAATGAAGCTGAAGGAACTTTTTACTAGTTAAATAGTAGTTAAAGCGTTTTTGGGGTTTGTAGGTTAGAAAATACCCTGAGACAGCTAGATTTTAACAATATAACTGTTAAGTTACATTACACACATTTACAGTAACAACATTTGCAATTTCTTAATTCCAACTAGGTGACTTAAAATTAAATAATTGTGAATGTTACGTATTATGGTGTCAATATTGGCAAGTACTAAAAACATGTACTCATACTCCTCAGTCTGAAAAAACACGGTCTCAATCTATACCTGGTTGGGATGATGGTCATATATGCCATTGTGTTTGTCTGTCTGTTGACGCTGTATTTATCTCTTTTACAGACTCCAGTGAGCAGGAGGATAAGAGTACAGATGCTTCGGGCGATTTGCCCCCCGCAGCTTCAGTCGAGCCTGCCCCAGACGGCCCAAAGGAGGAAAGTGAAGCCCCTAAAACTCCACCAAAATCCCCCTCTAAAGCGCTGGAGAATGCACAGGACAAAGCACAGGACGCGGAGTTGGGGCCACTGCCTGATAACTGGGAGATGGCCTACACAGAGAAGGGAGAGGTCTACTTTATAGAGTAAGTGTGACACTTGTTGGATAACATTGTGGTGCAACATACACAGAATACATCTGCACAAATGTATCAGACACAGTGGTGTATGCTGGGGTTTTGAAAGTGGTCCACTACCTAAAATTTTCCAGCCAGGAGTGGCTCTCTGGTCAGAAATGGACTATTGATGAAGGGCTAGAGGATGGCTAACACAAACATCAAAAGATAGTCTACAGTCTCTAACTGTACCTGCAAGAGAGGAGTTTCAGATAAAGCAGCCAGGCAGTGTTGATGTGTATAAAAACCCCAGCAGCAATGTTGTGCCTAATACTAGCATCACATACACTATAATGATCACTGCCATATCAGTATCACTGCTGTGCTGAGTATGATCCACCAACCAATAGTCTTATGGTCAGAAACTAACCAATGATGAATGGAGTAGAGAGGGGCTGACAAATTGTGCAGCAACAGATGAGCTACAGTCTGTAATTTTACACCTTTGTAGTGGACCTATAAAGTAAATGGATCTCATAAAGTGAAGTGTTAGTGTTTCTAATAAAGTGGCCAGTGAGTGGAAGTATAAGGTAGGTGTTTTTAATAAAGTGGCCAGTGAGTGAGAGTACAAGGTAAATGTTTCTTATAAAGTGGCCAGTGAGTGAAGGTACAAGGTAGGTGTTTTTAATTAAGTGGCCACTGAGTGGAAGTACAAGGTAGGAGTTTCTAATAAAGTGGCCAGTGTGTGGTAGGTAGGGGTTATTGGAAGCAAAGTGTAGGTGAATGTAATAGACTGGCATCTACTTGGAAAGCAAATATATTTAACTGTACAATGTGCTATGTAATTGCTTTCAAATAACTGCATAATCTAAATCAAATGCATAGCAAAACAACAATAGAAGTCTGAGGAGTTCTAACTGGTAACTCTCATAATGCATCAAGCCTAATGAAACATATGAAAACACACATTTTTTCAACTGCATGACAAACAGCACTCTTCTTTCAGTCTTCCCCTAGAGATCCATCTTCTCTTTATCACCATCCCCGGAGAAACACAGCACAGCCACACACACAAAGCAGGGATTGCTTTTAGCAAGGATGCATTTCAGAAACTTGGCAAGCACATGAAATTGGGCTTCATTTAGAGCTACAGATAACTCATAGAAGAGCACCAAATCAAAGAAACAACACAAAAATTAGATTTTTTTGCACCAAAACTATGAAGACCAGAAGCAGCATGATTTTTTTGGAATTTCACTATGTTACTCAGAATGTGTACACACACATACAGACACACAAAAGAAGAAAAATCTAACTGAAATATTTTCAACAAACAAACAAAGATATCGTTTTGTTGTTCAAATGTACAAATGTTGACATTTCACCGAGTTTCACCACAAAACCTAGCAGTTTTGCTCCTACTGAGTGTTTGTAACTGTTTTGGTTGCTTTTGAAGATGTTTGCTCCACACCTGACAACTCTAAATTTGTTTTGCTGTCCAGTGTTGACCAGAGGAGGATGTGTTCTCCTTTTGAGTCCTGGTTCCTCTCCAGGTTTCTTCCTCTTGCTCTTAGGGAGTTTTTCCTTGCCACTGCTGCCATTGGCTTGCTCATGGGGGCTTGGACCTGGATTTTTCTGTAAATCTGCTTTGTGACAACTCCTGCTGTAAAAAGTGCTATTTTAAAAAAAACTTTGACTCGTTCTGACTTCACATGTGTAAAACAAGTACAGACCTCTGTACAGATAATTAGACAATAAGGGGTAGAATTATTAATGTTTCATGCCATTGCAAACCTTGCTTTGACATTAAAAATGACTGTTCCAGTTTACTAAAAAAGGGCAACAGTCCTTTGAGCCTGTTTACACTTGCATTAACATGGTTAACTTTGGTTGGAATTCTATTCATACTTTTGTCTTACCTTTTACCTTTTTGTTAAATGAGCTAAAGACGTGTCTCTGACCACCTACAATTTTGAGTGATCCGATTGTAATCCAGTTACAGTGCGTCCTGGGGTGTTTACACCTGGCTTTTCATGTGGTCAAGTGAAATCCAGATGTCATCCGATCACCAAAAATGCATGATTTGCATGAGGTGTAAACAGCCTCTTTAGTGCCCATAACATGAGCAAAGTGGTAGTTACTGCTCTCTCGTGCTTTTGCCTCTTTGTATATGAATTTATAATAGTTTCTCTCTCAGACTGCAGAATATTGTCAGAGATTATTGTAATGAAGGACTAATTCTGATTTACTAAGCTTACAGTAAATAATAACTGCGTGTTATTTGACACCTATAAAAAGCTTGTGTTATTTTTGGTGGTAGCGATTCTGCCATTGTTGTTGCTGAGAGACAGAAAAGGAGAGAGTTTAGTACACACAATGAGTTATTTCTGACTTTTTGACAAATACAAACAAAAAAAAATTGCCTGTCAAGTTTAGCTCAAACCACTTTTATTTCATAAGATGCAATAATGTCTTGTTTTCTCATCTTAATGACACTTTATGTCGAAATAATCACACAATTTTTCAAACAGTAATAACTTGTTATTTTAGAAATTATTTTGACCTACTAAGTCAAAGTTTTGAGAAAATAAGTAATTATTTCAACCAATGACATAATTACTTATTTTCAGTTTGAACCAGGATCAGAAAAGGATGAAAAAAAGAAACCTTTCATCTGTGTCCCAAATCACACACTTCTATAGTTTACATACTACACTAATAAGTGCACTTCTAAAAGTAGTGCATTGTTTTTTACAAGCTATTTAGTGCTGTGTTATATAGAGTGGGACACAGCCCTTTTCTGCTAACTGGCTGAAACGGGCTTCCATATGAAAAGCACTTCAGTCAGATAGGGGTTTATATTGCACTACTCATACGTTAATTATAAAGTTGTGCCTGTGTTCATTTGCAAGGATGGTACTAGTAGACAACCTGCTAAATCAGCCACCCCCACCAGTGCAAAGTGTTGGTCGACTGTCAGTAATTAACTCCTCTTTTAGTAAATCTGGTCCTAAGTCGGTTTACCATTTTAGTTGTTTCTATGCCATCGCCATTTATAACAGTGATTGGGTTTATGTCGCCTCTGGGGTGAATAAAAATATTGCCACTGTTTCATTGTTTGTTTCATTGACGTCCAAATAATTTCCACAAATGGCATTTAGGGCCTGATATATTAAGCATTTGCACCAGTTTTGGTCGCAAATCAGAGCATTCAAAGTTATACAAGTACAATATTTTGTAGTGCACTAGCTGCTGCATGTTTTGCTCTAGGCTCATAAGTAGAGGCTTTCCACAACTGTTGGATTCTATAACTTTGTGTAGTTGTTCATTGGCAACGTTTAACCTGTTTAGTTCTACATTTCATTTTCTTGTGCATACATTTGTGTGTGTGTACGTGTTTGCATGATCATATTGACATTTTGACATTAACATCAAGTATTTTAGCTCTATGCTAATGAGAGATGACACTTAATGAACATACGTCCTACACAAGTTATGTAGTAGGACTATGAAAGTAGCACTCTATGAAAAATAAAACAAAGCTGGAACTCTCTACCTGTACAATCTTTTGAAAACGATTCAGTCTGAAATGTTGTGGTGTGAGCCAAGGATATTAGCTTACTGTCTGTGGTGACTAGGATTTTTCATAAAAAATACATTTTCTGTAGGTGGCTTTGTGAGTTTTCTCACTTGTAATGAAAGTATTGGGTTCCTCTGTAATTTAGAATAAATGTCACTTTTGTGCTGCTTTGTTTCCAGAAGGCACCAAAGGATGAGATATAAACTTTGGAGGGACTCTGAGCACTTTTTTTACATTGTGAATATTGCAAAAGAATTCAAGAACTTGCATATATAGATCGATATAAATGTATCTTTCTATCTGCCTATTGTCAAACATACACTGAATACCCAAGTGAGAAACAATAGAGTAACCTTTTGGGGGGACTTTTAAGTTTGAATACAGCCTGAGAATTTATTTTTGGCCAAAAATGAGCATATACATTATTGAACATTCAAAAATGTATAAAATGTAATCACCACCCTCAGGTCTAAAAATGACCCCAAAATGCAAAGATTTGGACAGCTATCTATCTATCTATCTATCTATCTATCTATCTATCTATCTATCTGTCTATTTTTTGGGTGTTGTTAGATACTTATGTGAAGCACAGTAAAGTCACTGGAACATACAGAACTTGAGTGGATTAATGTGGTACGCCTACTGCCGAGGATGCCTTCTCTGTCTGTTCCTTACAACCATCGGATTCTGTAGTATCCATGGTCTGTAAAGAGAACTACAACTCCCATGAGCCTCTGGAGGAGCTCCTGTCACTGTAGGAAACTATGTCTCCGTCCAATGGATTCTTGTTTCTACACCCGACATCCCCGGAGTTCTAATGTCTCACCTGCTTGTCATTACATGTAATCAGTTCAGTAGTAAATAAGGCCAGGCTTTCGTTCATTGTAAAGTATTGCCAACATCTCTAGTTGCATAGCGAGCAAGTCTTTGTAGGCTATTGCTGATTACCCATGTATGCCCCTTTTTCACCTTTTCCTGACCTGTCTTTTGCCTTTGCACTTTTGCTCTGTTGTTTTGCGTTTCCGTGTTTGACCCTCAACTGTGTTTTTGAACCTCTTTTTGTGATTCTCCTGTGCTGGATATCCTGCTTTCTGGCTTTGACCTTGGACTGTTTTGACCATGATTGTTGTGTGAATCCCTTAGCCTTAAGTAAAGCCCTACCTTGTGTTTTAACCTGCGAGAATCTGATTCATTCTGAGAGCCTGACATAAGCCTTTTATAAAACCACAACAAAATACAACATGAGAAAATATTCCAAAGTTCAATTAATGATTTAAAGTTAAGTTTAGGTAAAAAATCTAATTTAGATTTTGGTATCCAAATTATATGTCTTTAGTTTAGCACTGGAGCTATGAGCTAATGTTGCTAACAAGCATGAGAAGTCAATACTCACCCATATATTTCCCATAAATACTTTCCCAAAGCTTCTCTCAGCCTGCTCAAACTGCATTGCGGTCATTATTAGGGTAATGCAGACTTGTCAGTGTGGTTTAGGACACAGTGTGACTTACTGTGAACTACCAAAACGAACAAAACTTCACAGTATAGGCAGCTGGGCAGCCGTTTTAGACAACAGGTGTTAAATTCCAGTACTTATTCATGAGCACACAGGCACATCAATTCATGAATTTTGTGAATGTTTTTTTTTCCCACCTGAACATTCTACAGAGGTTTTCAACTGCCCAAACAAACCTCAGCTGCCTTGCAGATTTCTTCCTCATTTCTGTTAAGCTTGTTCAACCTCACAAGAGCAGCTAAAAAAACACACATGTGGGTGGATTTATGGATTCTTACACACACAGAACAGTGAGGAGGATGATTCAAGGTTAAGTCTGGATCATGGTGAGCCACTGTGCACTGGGTTTAAAGCATCAGTGGAATCATCCTCAGCCCCACCGCAACAAATTTACACCCACTGTAGCTGATACATTAGCACAAAGCTGATTATCTTCACAATGGAGAGACGTGGGACTGCGTACCATCAGCTGGGAATCAAACCTTTGACCTGACAAGCCACAGCTGAAGTCTCAGGCTGCTGAGCTGAGTTTAATGCCTTTTAGTCAGTCATCATGGAGCTGAACCCAGGGGTTCAGTTCACTTCAATTAGTTTTATTTGTACAGTGCTTTCTACACCAGACATTGTTTCAAAGCAGCTTGTCGAGAAATGCAGATCAAGTACCCTAACAAGCATCGCCAAGGGAGGCAGTCTCAGGAAAAACTCCCTAAGTGCTTGAGGGAGACCCACAAACCAAATACAGAAAGGAGGAAGAAGCACTTAGAGGAACCAAGACTCAAAAGGAAAAATCTCATTAGGAACATAAAGAAGAACCACTGAGAGGAACCAAGACTCAAAAGGAAAAACTCCCTAAGAGTAAGAGGAACCAAGTCAGTCTCACTGTAAGAAAACCAGTATACCTCCACCATTCCAGGCCAGCCCAAGTGCTGTCCTCAAAGACAGACAGCACAAGCTTATCGGTAACGTTCAAGTTTAAAAATGGGAAGTTGGGACAAACTCCAGACACCGATCAGTGAAACCCAGCAGAGGAGGATGGATGTTGGCTTTCACATTCAAGTTCAGCGCAACCACACACTTTCCAGCATGCCGACTTCGTTGTGACTCTCTACCTCTGAGGTTTTAATGCCGCCACAAAGTGCCCCCCAGTGGATGAAGTGTGTAATTGACAGTGTACTGTCTAATAAAGTGCTGCCTTACTTGTCCCACCACTTGCAGTCCACAGACTCTTCTGCTCGGGGAAGGGGAACATTTTATAATGTGGGTTGTGACCCCTTCCCGGAGCATATGAATCTAAAGATTGCGAGCGTGTTGAAAGAGCATTCAAAGAGAACTCAGTCAAAACTTGGTGAAGGATGTGTGTTCCAAGGCTGTGAGTGAATTATGTACTGTTGATTATTATACAATTGATTTTGCATTTAAGACCTAAACATTGATCCAGACCTTCTTTTTTGAGCGAGTACGTGTGAAGTTAATGCGTAAAGACATATGATGTGCTAAAAATCTAATTCAACCCAACACCTCTAAAGTACTATTTCAAGCTTTACAGGCTAGCTGATGTTTTTACCCTGACCATTGCTACTTCTTTCCGTTTTAACAAATATAGTGGCGCTTTACCAACAAGGTTTAAGGTCAGTGATGATTCAGGCATGCAGTTAGCAGCATGCTAATCAGTGGGGTAAAAGCTTCCATTACTTGTTAGCTAAATTAGCCTTGTAGCTGCAGTGCACTAAAGAAGCAAACGTGTCACATTTGTGGTAAAACTATCACTGAGGACAAACTATTGCTTTAAAGCCAGTCTGGAATCTGATGGCCTGACACTGACTTGCCCTTCAGCTAGTATGATCTGTGATCACTTTCTTTTAACAAACTAGTGACTTTGAAGAATTAGACATGCAAATTTATCAGCGAGTGCTTTTGTCTTTTGTTTTTTATCTGTGCTGCTGTTTTCTTTTTAAGGGTCTTTGCTATCGTTCTCTTTCTGTCTCTTCCTGTTGATATCTGTCTTATCTGTCTCTTCCCGTTACGCCTTATCTCTCGCTCCATCTCTCCCCTCCCTCTCTCTTCCTCCGTCTCTTTCTCGTTAATGAGCTAATTAAAAGTATCGATTGCTGTTTTGTAAACCTAAACTCTTTTTTTTCTCCTTGTTTCAAAAGTCACACAGGGGAATTTCACTCTGTCTGTTTTTCTACCGCAACATACTCATCCTCGCTCTCTCTCTCTCTCTCTCTCTCTCTCTCTTCCTCTGCACAGTCACAACACTAAGACCACGTCCTGGCTGGACCCTCGATTAGCCAAGAAAGCGAAGCCTCCAGAGGAGTGTAACGAAGACGGTAAGTGTGTTTATCTTGTTGCTTTACATTTCTGCCCCTTTAAATTTCTTTCTTTCTTTCTTTCTTTCTTTCTTTCTTTCCTTCTTGCGGAACTGACAGTTGGCTAGCTTTCCATCATCTACAAAAGAAAGCAGGAAAATGTACTTTATTTTGTTCTTTCTTTTTAAGAAAACAAATTGTTCACTCTGTATGCTTAAACATAAAGTAACATGACCAGTAAATGTAAAACAGAGAGAATAAATCAATGTATATATCATTGCTGTCAGAAAAAACACTTATCTTCAAAATAGTTATTTAACTTTAAATTTAATAAAAAAAATAATAATAATTTTAAATCTTTTTCTATTTTTGGGATATTTCTGTTGGTCCATTCATCATGAAATGTTCACACAATGTTTATGTATATAAACCAGTTGCACAACATTATATATTTATAGAAGATTATTATACATTATATTCATATATATATATATATATATATATTGCTGCTGTTAGGACAAAACCTTGTATTTCCATTTTTGTTGGTTTTTTTTTTGTTTTTGACATAATTTGAAAATGCCTATTGCCCTTGACATTGTTTGTAAATTTCATGATTTCCTTTTAACTATCACATTAATGACTTTAGTAAATACAAAACATGGAAAAACACACTCACTGCTCCACTTCACATATCACTCAGAAGACTTTTTTTTGCGGAGTACTGCATTTCTATGTCTTTCTGAATGCTAGTGATGATCTCTCTCTCTCTCTTTCTCACTCTCCTTCAGCTCAGTTCAGTTTAATGTAGCATGTCTATGTACAGTTACAGTATTGCTGAGGCATTTAAAAGGTTTAGAAGTCTTTCTAATGAAAAAAGTGGTAAAACATTCTCTTTCTGTCGCCTTATCTTTCTCTCATTCAGTCTGCTTGTCTACTTTCTCTCACTCTCTCTCTCTTTCTTTTGTTATATTTTCCTCTTTCCATCTGCCTATATCTCTCTCCTTCCCTTTTCCTTTATCTTTGTATGCCTCCATCACTCTCTGACACTCTTAAATCTGCTGCGTGTCTGTGTGTGTGTCAGTGTTAGCTGATTTGTCAGCTGATTTCCACAGTTCAAAGACCTGTCAGTGTACGCTGTGAAAGCACTCATCACCAGCACAACGCTGTGTGTGAGTGTGTTTCTTTGTTTTTGTGGACTTTGAGAACACAAATGCTTCTCACTTAAGTAAACCAGAGAAAAACAGAATGAAACTACTGGAAGAACAAAATGCTTTTGTACAGCACTCAGCCATTCAAAGTTAAGAACTTCTATAATGTTATATTTTTGGAGATACAAGGTGGTGTTGCACCGATGATGTATATGTATATAGATGTAAATGGGACATATTATTATTCATACATATAGATACTTACATATGTGGATTATTCAACTGAATTGTTCAAAGACCAATTATTTGAATGTTTGGGTAGTCAAAGTTTTAGCTAATTCTGATTATTACTCAGTCCATGGCTAGCAAACACAGCTTTGAACAATTTTACACACAGAAAATCCTAAAAAAATAATTAATTGCAGAAAATGTTTTCATAGTGACAGTTTTTAATGATACATGCTTGTTTTCAGAGTTTAGGACACATTTACTTCAAAACAATGTGATCTAACTGCTCACCATGTGGCCATTAAGGACAGGGATGCAGTCTCACTTCCTACTCTAAAATACAGGAATGTGGCTAAATTAAGCCTCTGCTTATGGACTTAAGCCCTTTGTGTTTAGGTAGTGAAATGAAAATGTGGGAGTGTTTTTATTTAAAAATAAAATTAAACTTATGATAAATCTAAAGTGTTTAATTTCACTTTCATTTCATTAGATTTATGTCCTAAACTCTGACTGTAGGACCAGAGTTACAGCTCTGCAGCTCTCTCTTTCTCCCTCTCTCTGATAGAGAGAATTCCCTGGTAAGTATGTGAGGTAAAATGACATACACCGGGTGTTTCGGGGGTGTTTCATCATTCAGTTCAAGCTCAGGATTCTGACAACAAAGCTGTTTAAGGTCAGATACAAAACACACAAAAGCAATACGCCCAAAATCAATACGTCCAAAAACAATGCATCTAGAACCAAAATGTCCAAAAGCAAAAACAACAAATCAAGTGTTAAATATCAAATAAGTCAAGTTTCAAATATCAAATATTAGATTTTTTTAATGATATTTCAAACAAGTAAACTATGAAATATTTGATAGTTTCAAGTACAAACACACAAATTTTCTAAGCTGCTTGTCCTTCTGTGTCATGGGGGAGCAGGAGCCTATCCCAGCAGTCACTGGGCAGAAGACAGGATACACCCTGGACAGGTCACCAGTCCATCGCAGGGCAGACAGACAGACATATACATTCACACACAATCACACCTAGGGGCAATTTAGCGTGTCCAGTTGGCCTGTGGGAGGAAACCCACACAGATACAGGGAGAGCATGCAAACTCCACACAGAAAGGACACTGGTCGTCCGGCTGAGACTCTAACCCAGGCCCTTCTTGCTGTGAGGCGACAGCGCTACCTACCGCGCCACTGTGCCACCCTAGTTTCAAGTATTTTAAACAAATTTCTCAGTGTCTTCACCACAATAGCTTTGTGCCAGTAGAAGACCTCTGATGTTATGATGTCCTCAGAGGTCTGTACAGCATAACACTGATAGAGATCACTGTAGGTCCAGAGTAGCTATGGAAATGAGAGTAGTGTTTCCACAGTAATGGGAATAGACCTAACGTGACCATGGAAATGGATGTTGTTTAACAATTTAAATACTGTAGACTTAGAGTAACCATGGACATGGGTGTAGATGTAAAATAGCCATAGAAATAGGTGTAGTGTTACCATAGAAAGAACTATAGACCCAGAGTAATCATGGAAATAGGTGGAGACCTAGAGAAATCATAGAAATAAGAGTAGTGTAACCATGGACATGGGTGTAGATGTAAAATAGCCATGGAAATGAGTAGAACTGCAGAAGTAGTTTCAGAACTGGAGTAACCGTAGAAATGAGAGTAGCTGTGGAGATGGGGGCACTGTGTGTGTATGTGTGTGTATATGTATATATACATATTCAAACACTTTACCTTCCTTCTTCTTTTTCTCTCTCTCTCTTTTCTGCTGGTCAAATCTTTAACATGTAGGTCAGTATTATAGAACAGAATGGAACAGAATCAATAGATTCACGTTTACCATTTATTCACCCCATACTCACCATATGCATTGATATATTAGGGATTTGTCTCAATATTTGTCAACACTGTACTTTCTCTCTCCCTCTCTCTGTATCTCTCTCTCTCTCTCTCTCTTTCTGTCTCTCTCTCACATCTCTCTCTCTCACATCTGTCAGTCTCACTCTCTCTCTCTTTCAATGTTTTCTCTCGTTTTCTTTTCTCTCCAAATTCTTACTAACTTCTTTCTTTCTGTCTTTCCTTCTTTCTTTCTTTCTTTCTCTCTCTCTCTCTCTCTCTCTCTCTCTCTCTCTCTCTCTCTGTTTCTCTCAGTCTCTCTCTCTGCCTTTTTAAAAGGTCAAGGATTTTAACAAACAGTAAAAAATGTTTTCTCCGTTTCTGCTCGAGAGCGAAGCGAGACCTTTTTGCTTCTGCATATGAAATGAAGGATTATTCAAATATTGCGCATATTATTTGAGGAAGTTGTGATAATTAGTCCAAACACAGGAGAATACCACGCTTTTCTTTCCCTTCTCTTTCCTTTTTGAGGTTATTGAATTGTTAAATTTGCATTATCTGTCTCCCTCTCTCTCTCTCGCATTATTCTTTCTTTCCCTTTTCTTTTCTTCCTCTCTCTCCTTTCTCTCTTTCTCCCTTTCTCATCTCTCTTCTGTCTCTCTTTTATCTTTCTCTCATTTCTGTCTCTCATTATCTTTCTCTTGCTTCTCTCATCTCTCTCTCTCTCTCTCTCTCTCTCTCTCTCTCTCTCGCTCTCTCTCTGCTCTAAGGGGTAAATGTATGTATGTGTGGGAATGTGTGTGTGTTGGTCGTCGTGGTGATGGTGTGACGGACAGCGGAAGTTGGTCACTGTGAAAGAGCCTTAGTTGAGCCCCAAAAGCCTTGCTCCTGGGGTTGCCATGGTAACGGTGTCTGGCGGGGTGGGGGGGGGTAGAGGTCTGTGGGTGTCTGCTATGGACTCAACAGTGTCCTTAAACCTTTCTGACCTGAACTGGACCATACACACACGTAAATATGTAAATATGTAAATGTGTGTGTGTGTGTGTGTGTGTGTGTGTGTGATAGATAACATTTACATTCCTTCTGATAATCAAGACTCAGGCTTAACAGTTGTGTGTCATATATTTCTAGGTGGATGTCACAAAATTCCCTACCAAATCTCAGAGAAAAATGCTTTGTGAGAAGTTCCGTTTTTTAGCTTCATATACCAAACCTAAAGTATGAAACCTGGTGTGATCTTAGTCTCTGAGCTCTGTTTTATCCTGAATGTAAATGGAGTCTCCAAAGTAGCTTTTCTATCTCAGAGTGATGCAAAGAAACTTGTTCATGCATTTGTTAAAAGCAGAGTTGATCACTGTAATGCTCTTCTTACTGGACTTCCTAACAATCCATCCTCTACAACAAAATACAGCAGCACGGATTCTGTGGAAAACAAAAAAGATATTATATGGCTACCTGTATGTTTCCGGATAGATTTTAAAGGTCTGCTACTAGTTTTTAAGGCTCAATATGACCTTAAAGCACCTGTTTAACTCATAGAATGTCTGTGTGTTTATATTCCAGCACATGATCTTACATCTCCAGAAACTGGCCTTCAGCAAACACCCTCTGTAAATACAGAAAACATAGAGAGGCCTCGTTCAGTTATTATGCTTCTAAACTGTGGAACTCAATTCCAGCTTATATTAGACAGTCAAGCTCAGTGCTCACTTTCAAGAAACATTTGAAAACATATCTCTTTAATTTAGCATTTAATTAAAATTCCAAATCTCGTTTGGTATTTATCTTTTTACTTTGATCTGTTTCATTGCCTTATATGATTTAAATGAATACTCATGCTTTCTTATTACTGTTAAGCTTTATCACTTGTCTGTAAAGTAGTTTAAGCTGCCACCAGTATGAAAAGCGCTCTATAAATAAAGATATTATTATATTATTATTATTTTCTGCTCTGTTGAATCTCAGCTTTGTGGTTGAATTCCCTCTTTGAACTGTCCAAAAATAGTTATAATATATAAACAAGAAAAGATGAAAATTTGATTTGAGCATGAAACTGCACTTTAAAAACTCTCCTCGGAAAGAGTGCATATTAGTGTTTTCACTCTCTCTGTCTGCTGTGAAATGAAGAGCGGATGGGGGAGAGCAAGAGAGAGGGACAGGAGAGAGAGATTGGGAAAGAAAGAGGGAGAAAAGAGAAGAGAAAGAGAGACAAAATGAGGTGGAGTGCTATGAGAGGTAGAGAGAGTGAAGAGGAGAGACTGAAAGAGATAATTAATGCTAGTGAGCAGAAGGAAGAGGATAAGACAGAGAATGAAGGAGAGTTACTGGAAGGGGGAGAGAGAGAGAGAGAGAGAGAGAGAAAGAGAAAGGATGAAAGTACTGGTGAATCCCCCTAGTGGTCACTGAAAACATTGATAAAGGGAATTTAACCCGTTTCTGGGTCCACACTTCAATAGCTCACATTCTTCATAGTAGAAACCTAATAATTCTTAGTACATACGAATTCATAGTAGATACAGAATCATTTCTCTCTCACTCACTACATCCTCTCTTTCTCTCTCTTTTTCTCTCGCTTTATCTCTCACTTTCTCTCTCGTCCTCTATGATCTCATCGTCAGATATTACAACACTGTCATCAGTAAAGCTTTTTTTTTCTCCTGCCTCATTGCACATTAGTACATGATAGCGCTTTGATCGTCTGTGTGTTTGTGTGAGAATGTGTGTGTGTTTGACTCAGTGTCAAATGAGGTGAGAAAATAAAGCCTCTTTGATCACGAACAAACTGTCAGGCTTTCAAAAACTGCCCAGTTTACTCAAACCCTCTCTGAAATGAATATATGGTCAGTTTTTAATCTTTCACTATAACCTGATTTCCAGTGTGGAATATGCACTCATTGGCCTTTATATCAGAAACCTCTCCACCTTGCTGGTGTACAGTCAGAGACTGTAGCCCATCTGTTGATACACATTTTGTGTTAACCACCCAAATAATATCTGGACAACAGCAGTCCTGTGGTCAGTGAGTAGAACTACAAGGTAGGGGTTTCTAATAAAGTGGCCAGTGAGTGGAAGTGTGGGGTAGGAGTTTCTGATAAAGTGGCAAGTAAATGGAAGTACAAGGTAGGTGTTTCCAATAAAGTGGCCAGAGAGTGGAAGTACAAGGTAGGTGTTTCTGATAAAGTGGCCAATGGGTGGAAATAAAAGGTAGGTGTTTCTAATAATGTGGCCAGTGAGTAGAACTATAAGGTAGGGGGTTCTAATTAAGTGGCCAGTGAGTGGAAGTATGGGGTAGAGGTTTCTAATAATGTGGCCAGTAAATGGAAGTACAAGGTAGGTGTTTCTAATAAAGTGGCCAGTGAGTGGAAGAAGAAGATAAAGGTTTCTAATTAAGCGACCTTGGGATTATGAAAGGTGCTATATAATTGTAACATTATTATTATTATTATTATTATTATTATTATTATTATTATTATTATAGTGGACAGATCTTCTTGTGACTCTCACTTTTAGCACTGTTTAAACTGGCTTTAGTTTTATATTGATCATTAAGGTGATCCAAGAAACACCTATATGATTTATTCAGAAACTGATTGATGGAAAAAACTGCCATACTGATTCATTTCGGATGCTGATCTACCAACCACAGTTACTATTGCTAAGTGACAGTCTGCATGTAAATCATGTATTTTTCATTGGGCCTATAATTATAATGACACAATTTCAAAATATGAATATTGTGAAAGTAGAGTTGTTAACAGGAGCATGTTTCAACATCTTGGAAAAGTGAATAGACACTTAAGCCACTTTATTGAATATGAAGCATTTTTGATCACATTTTAAAGAATTACTTTAGATCATTCCATTAGTTTGTTTTTTCTTCTTTCTTTCCTTCCATCTTTCTTCCTTTGATAGCATGCCAAAGGCTGAATAACCCAGTCCAATCTCTGCGGTACAGTGATATGTGTCCATTTATGTCACTCAGTGACATAATGAATGGCTATGGACCTGTTCTCCAGTGTATTTTTTCCGCTATGTGATGAATAATGTATGTTTTGTTATGCTGTGTGTTTTTCAGAGCTTCCCTATGGCTGGGAGAAAATCGATGACCCTGTTTACGGCAGCTACTATGTTGAGTAAGTGTAGCCCCTTCACTGTTAAATACTTAATGCAGTGGCACTTTAGATTTCCAAATGTTTTTTCTTGCCGTTCTTATTAATCGGCTTCATTACTTCGCTTGGGCTCCGCTATGGTAGCAACTGCTCGCCTTTGCCATCTTATTCAGCCCAGAGTGTGTTTGTGTGTGCCACAGTGTGTTTTTGTGTGAGTGCCATTCTTTTTCTTGCTTAATGAGCAGTTCAGAGTGAGGTGGGACTATTTATAGCTTGGCTTGCGACTTTCTTATCCCAGGACAGAGAGGAACGGTGGCCAGGAGCCAGCAATGCAGCTTTAGTGCTATGTTATGCGACTACGTTCACATACACAGTCTCTTTTTCTTTTTCCACTACCTCAAACAATTTCTCATCTCCACCTGGGTTGTCCATGCCTCTCTTCTATAGTCTTAAAAATGAAGGTGCTAAAAGGGGTTATCTGGAGCGGTGCTATAGAAGAACAGTTCCCTAAGGAAACTTTCAATAGATGGTTCATCAAAGAACTTCCAGATCATGTATATGTTCCAAATCCAAGCCAAGAACTCTTATATATATAATATTTTTGAGAGTGCCTACAATCACAAAATAACTTTGCATGTCTTGGCATGGAAGAGTGACTTTTTGTGCCACTTCAAGCCCTCTCTAGTAGCCATGGTTGCAGAGAAAGTGCATTAACCACCAATGTTTGTCATAAAACCCAGCTCACAACCCAACATACTCAACAAACAGTAACAAACCCAAACAGTGGGATGGTGTGCTATACCTATGTTTTGTAAATCTCTAGAACGTTCTGCTCCACTTACATTGGTTTATGTGCTATTTTACTAAACATTATGAAGCCAAATGGTGACAATGATGGTGTTTGACTGAGAAGGAAGATGTTGAGAATGTTGGTGTTTGTTGGAGAAGAGTGGTGTTTGGTGAAGAATGGGGGTTTGTTTGAAAATGATGGTGTTTGGTGGAGAGTGAGAATGGTGGTATTCTGTGGAGAATGACAGTATTTGGCCGATAATGTTTGTGTTTGATTGGGAATTAGAATAATGGTGCTTGTTGAAGAATGATGGAGTTTGTTGGAAAATGTGTTTGTTAGACAGTGATGGCGCTTATTGGAGAATTCCGTTTGGAAAATGATGGTGTTTGGTAGAGAATGTTGAAGAGTTTGTTGGAGACTTACGATGTTTGATGGAGAACTATGGTGTTTGGTGGAAAATGTTGGTGTTTGATGGAGAATTATGGTGTTTGGTGAAAAATATTGGTGTCTGGTGGAGAGCAGTGGTGTTTACTGGAGAATGATGATGTTGGAGAATGACGATTTTTGTTGTCAAATTATGGCGTTTGCTGGAAAATGTTGGTGTTTGTTGGAATCATAGTGTTTGGTGCATATCGATGGGATTCAGTGGATATTGATGGTGTTCAATGAAGAATCATGGTGTTTACTGGAGAATGATGGTGTTTGGTGGAAAATGGTGGTGTTTGGTGGGAAATTACTGACTGTGTTTGTTGAAGAATGTTGGTGTTTTACAGAAAAGAGGCGTTTTTAGGATAATGTTTTAATGGGTCACTGTGCACAGGGTTTAACAAGCTTAAGTCAGAATGAAATAAATGGTGGCTTTTTTGTAATGCCTCCCTGCTCTCCTGGATCTCACGTTGCGCTGAGTTGATGAGTGGGAGGCTGATAGAGCTGCTCGCAAATCACTGTAATTCACTGTACAACTCTGTCCTGCAGCCATAACACCGGACACATGTAATCAGCACATAATGCATGAAGCTGTTTATTAGGTGCTGGAGAGAGAAATACGGAGAGAAAGAGCATACGTATAACTCTTATGGGAAATATTTGTCATTAGGAATACACAATAATATCAGTCTTATAGATATTTGTCTATATTTGCTTTAAAACCATTATCTGCATCAGATATTTGATTTGACCAATATTTCAAAGTAAGAGAAAGTAATAAGAAACTCACATATAAATAATTCATATGGGACGTTCAAGTGCAGTTGGTGTTTGATATATATGTACAGGACATTTTGTTATTGCATATAGACACACATACACACATACACACACACACAGATATATATATATATATATATATATATATATATATATATATATATATATATATATATATGTGTGCGTGTGTGTGTGTGTGTGTGTATATATGTATATATGTATATAACTATGTGGGCTAAATTATTATTACTTAAAGGTACTTACACATATAAAACACATGTAGAACGTTGTATAGAAACATTCTGTACGTGTGTGTGTATATTGGTGGCAGTTTGGAGATCCTAGCCTGGCTTGGGCTTCCCTGCTGGTTACTGTGTACCCATCTACTTTTGATCCATTCCCAATATCCTTTCCCCAAATTTATCTTCAGTCTGTCATCAAGACATAAAAGATCCAAACTGCTCCCAAACTGAGAGCCCAGCGACAGCTTCTGCCAAACATGCCTGCTCTGCTTCCATTTTAATCAGGCTTCTGGCCCATATTAATAAAGCCCAGCAGAGTAAGACGTCTAATCTAGCTTCTGCTTTTCTGACTGATTTCACAATAAACTGGAGGAGAATCAGATCCTGCTCACAAATCTGCACTCAGACATGTGGTGTCCTTTGTGGATTAACTCTGACTGTCAAACGATTCAAACAATTAATCATGATCAATCACAGAATTTTGTGTAGTTAATCTTGATTTGTGTGACGGTAAAGAGAGTTTCCATTTAAAAAGCAACACATTTTGTTATAACTGTATGAGTGGACAGAATAAGCTTCATCTGAATGTATTCATTGCTTTCAGTTTTCATTTTGTGAATGCAGGATTACATCAACCTGAACGTGAAAATCATGTGATTTCCATAGATTGTGTTCCTACCAGTGTCTCACAAAGTCACATGCAAAGGTTTGAACTGCCCCCTACAAATTACAGGTTTTGTTGATTTTCTTCAGTGAAAAAAGTTCTCTAGAGGCATATGGCATTTTTCTGTTATTTTTGGAGTGCAATTGGAAAAAGGATAAATATAACATATGAAATGTGCCAAAAACGTTTGTACATGCCACATTTTATATTCTATTTTTCCCCAGTATGTTAAATTAACCAAAAAATCAGTAATTAAGCATTAAAATGTGCAGAAGTGTGTTCTCTGTAAAGGATGTGTTAACTTATTTTCACTTCAGAAACATCAAATCGCATGCAGTTTGACCAGGGGCGCCCAAGCTTTTGCATACGACTTCATATATGTCATACATACAGTCAACATACAGACACTACTCCAGATGGTTTAAAGGATCAAACTAGGAAAATGCATTAATGGCATCAAACAAAAAGAGTGGTGTTAATAATTAATCACATTAATGCATTATTAAGGTTCTAACTTTGACAACCCTAGAATTAACACATCCATGCGCCACCCGCAAGTGCATTCATAGCAACTGCTGCTAGTTTTGACAACTGTTGCTAGGACAACTGTTGCTAGGTTGATGGACGAGTTATATTGCCATTATGCCCCTTGTTGTCTTCTGAAAATCTCTCATTTACCACATTTCATGGAAAACACTGCCAGTGATCAAAACTGGGCAAAACTGGGTGTAGCCTATCAGAGGAAACTGAGTGAAGAGAGGCTGGGGATTATGCTATTGACACACCTTTACTCATACATGTGTATGTGTTGCAATTTTTGGGGCTTTATCTTGTTAGATTAGTGTTGGTGTTGGAAACTCCAAAAACCTTTCATTTATCTCAGCCAAATCAGTCTCGATAATATAATTAGAGCTCTACAGATATTTTAACACATAAAATATCCAAAATCAAATCAAATCCTGACCTCACAAAGCATTAAAAATAGTATCAATCCTGTAAGTATACCATGTCTAAAAATATCCAGACAAACCTAATGAGTAAATTCACCTACTTTAAGGTGCATTGCTGACACAGGCATTCAATTGTGCACACACAGTTTGTATTTTCTCCATATTAAAGCATTGACCAATAGAAGGGGATGCTCTGGAGCAGCTGCACATGAGCCTAAGGTCACCATGTCCAATGCCAAGCATTAGTTAGAGGGGTTTAAGCCCCTCAGCATCGGGCTGTAGAGAGCTGGAGTGGCGTTTGTGATCCAGAACTAATCATCCAACATCATTACCTGACTATTGCTAATGCTTTTGTGACTGAATACAATCAAATCCTCACCACAATGTTCCAACATCTAGTGTAAAGCCTTCCCAGAAGACAAAGGGGGCACCTATTATTATGAAGCGCCATCAAGTTGTTCCGACTCTGGCGTTGTATGGATAGCGTTCCTCCAGAATATCCAGTCTTCTGTTTGGGTCTTCAGGCTTCTAAATGGCTGATTCTTGATTCCTCTGATTGTATCCAAACATTGTTATAATGACTGTTGCTGGTCATCTTCTTATTCTTTTACATTCAGCTCTTCTAAGCATAGTGGTCTCTAAGTTCTTTATTCTCATAATATGTCCAAAGTAAGAGCACTTCAGTTGGGTTATCTGGGCTTTGAGTGAGAGGTGAGGCTTGATTTGGTTGAGAATCCATTTTCTTCCTTTGCCATCCAAGAAAGTCTCAGAAGTCTCCTCCAACACCAAAGTTTAAAGACACCTGTTTTTCCTGAGCTGATGTGTACAAACCATTGGATTCAGACACACTTATCAATCCATGTGGTCGTATGTTTGGTTTGAATTGCATTCTTAGAGATGCATTTCAGTGTAAATGTTCTAGCCTGAAGGTTTTGGCATCATTAATCAGCACTTATGCAAAGATGTAAGGTCATTAATTGGTGGTTATGAAAGGTCAGTGACTGATTGTCTGAGATCAATTTTTCTTTAATTGGTCATTAGTGGTAGTGTTAGTGCTCATTAGTGCTGGAGTGTTTTAGGTAAAATCTTTTTTTTGGTTGTTTTAAAAGCTTTAATGAATTCAGGACTGTAGATGAAGTCATTCTCTGCTAAAATACAGAAATACATAAAATACGTTTCATGCCTGAATCCACTGTCTGCTGGAGCCCATGGTGGATTTAGATGGCAGAGATCATCAGAACTTAACTCTCTCTTTCGGTCTCTCTCTCTCTCTCTCTCTCTCTCTCTCTCTCTCTCTCTCTCTCTCTCTCTTTCTCTCTCTGCTTTTCTCTCAGTCACATAAACAGGCGGACACAGTTTGAAAACCCAGTTCTGGAGGCTAAACGGAGACTACAACATCACCAGATGCAAAGCCAAGGCCTGTCCAGTTTGCCCCTGCCCGCTATATACAGAGGTACATTACCCTTATTCATTTATACATATATCCTCCATTACAATACATCACAACACAGAGCTTTATTCTTCTTCTCCACCAATAAGAACAATTCTTCTTCTTCTTCTTCTCCTCCTTATTACTATAATTCTTCTTCTTCTTCTTCTTCTTCTTCTTCTTATTATTATTATTATTATTATTATCATCATCAATCTGAATGGCTTTTTTTTCAGAGAAAGAAAAAGAAATATACGTAAATATGTAGGAAGTAAAGCACTTATAACATTAAAAAGCAGCACTGTTGTGTGTCAGTGCTTATCAGAGTAATAATTGCTTCATATTCTTCCCATTTATGTTGTACGATTTGCTTCCTCTGCTAAAATAAAGTGACATTCTTCCTGTGATTGACATCACAAACTTCATAAAGAAAAAAAAAATCAAGAGAGTATTCCTCATCTGTCCATGATTGGTCAGAAGCTTGCCTTAATTGGTCCAAGAACTGTTAATGATCTGAAATACTGAACTTGACCAGCACTGGAGCAGTATAAGTTGCCATTGCAGGAGTAATCCACAGAGACAGATAATCCAGAGTTACATCAAACTAAACCCAAAGTTAGCTGGCTAAGCCAGAAATCCTGCGGATTTTAGATATATTCATAATGTTGCTTGAGAACACCAAAACTAAATGATACTACCTACCTCACCTGTTAGCTAGTTGTCTAGGGAAAACTCCAAATGTGGCTAAAACCAGTCCACGACGTGAAAAAGTGTCCCTACGTGGTGCAAAAGATGTGACAGTCAGTTCTATACTATGTGTGTGCGTGTTTGACTTAGCTTGGAGCCACAGAGAGAGGTCAGCTTATCTGTGATCTGCTTTGCTTACTCTGTCCCGGTGGCTATTACTCCAGGCCGCCAACTTGAGCTAGCACCAATGTTGATGCCGCTACTTCAGGCAGTTTTTGTTTTGTTGGTGGGGATGAAAGACAATTAAAAAAATGCCACTCTTTAGAGGGTCGGGGGGGTGAACAAGGTAGCCAGCATGCATCCGAACATGCCAAAAACCAGTCCCCACCATGATTCAAAGGTAAACCATTTCATTAGTCACAGGTAGGTGACATCATCTGAGCTCCCTTGAAGATCAGTGGCTGTCCCTAACCATGTGACCTCACTCTCCTAACATCAACATAACTCTTCTAACAATGAACATAAACAGCTGTTGGACCAATCAGGGACATCAGTTTGATGGACGACGACTCCAGCCCTTTTTTGGTTCACTTTTTTTCTTTGTGACATTTATGGTGACAATCACATGAACAATATCACTTTTTAGCAGAAGATACTACTCATACTAAACAGATACAGGTGTACGCACAAGGTGGTCAGATCGCATTCTACAACATAAAATGTTGCCTGTGCAAGAGTTATTGCACATTTAATATATAATGTTTTATTTTTTCTGTTCTTTTTATGTTAAACTCAACAACTCAGTAGAAATTATGCATTAAAATTTGCAGGAAAATGTCATATTTTAGTCTGTTCTGTAGAGGATGTGTTAACTTATTTTCACTTTGAAAATCAACAAAGTGTCATTTAACCAGCTTTTGCATATGACTGTATGTATTATTTATTTATTATTTTTATATTTTATATGTATTTACTACTGTAATAGTAATATTCATTTTTGTTGTTCCTATATATTTTTGTTAATACTACGTGACAGAGTGACCTTGTAACTGAATCTGCTATAATTAAGGCACAAAAAACATAAAATAACAAACCCTCAGTCTCCTGTGGCGATTAGGCAGTGCGTATGTACACTTTCTACATCTCAATCTTTCACTTCTCCACAGTTCCACCCACTCTTCCCTGAAACCATACCAACAATTACCTCCCATAATTTCCCTGTGCATAACTGTCTTAAGGTGATATGATATTATTCAATTATATAATAACACGTTCCAGCTGAAGCGCAGCATGTAATTGTTGAGTTAGATTTGACGTCTGTATCCGTAGTAACGTTTCCCTCGTGATTGTGGAGTCTGTCTCCATAGTAACACCTCCAAACTCGTCATTCACGTCTTTTATAAACTTTATTCTGAGTGACTTAGAGCTTGGTTCTTGTTGACAGCACCATTTGTGCAAATCTACAGCTGCACTCACCGGCCACTTTATCAGAAACTCCTCTCTCGTAGCTCCACTTCGCTGCTGTACAGTTAGAGACCGTAGCCCATCTGTTGATGCACAGCTTAGTCATCCTCTAGTCCTTCATCAATGGTTTCTGACCACTGAGCTGCTCTTGGCTTGATATTTTTTAATGGTGTTCCACTCTCGGCATAGCAGTGACACTGATGTGTGTAAAAACCCCAACAACACTGCTGTGTCTGATACACTTCTACCAGCACCACACACACTACCATGACCACCGCCATGCCAGTGTCACTGCTGTGCTGAGAATGATTCACCACCCAAAGGATATCTGGTCAATAGTGGTCCGGTTAGAAACTGACCAGTAATGAATGGAGTCTATAAATTGTTCAGCAACAGATTTTGTATGGTTATAGTGTACCTATAGAACAAATCAGCATTATGTCACAACAACAAAGAACTTACTAAACAGAGAACTTGGTAGTGCTGCACTGGTACAACAGGATTTTGTACCAATCCTGATCATTATTTTAGAGTTTTATTTAACCTAACCTTTTCCATTGATGAACCATCTAAATGCTGAGAGGATGTTTTTACATATGGGTAAACTCTGTGCTCCTAATGTCGTCGCTGATATTGATAAAGCTATGTGCTACTAAAGCTGTTCTGGTGCCGTTAAATTCTATTTTAACTCATGTTCCCCTTCGATAACTTCATGATTAACAGGGCTGTGCAGGGTTAATTTTGGTCATTTAATCATGAGCATGCACTGGTCATTCATTTTGACTGTAGTGTTTAAAGAAGAAAAAAAAAAAAACTTTATAAGTAGCCTTTATTTTATCTGCCATGATGATGCTAATAGCTGTTATGTTAGCACCCAGCTAATAATGCATTCATTTGGTTTCAAATTACTTTAACAGCTCTACTAGCTTTTGAAAGCTGGAAAACAGGAAAAACATAAAGCTGGACCAGTATTGATGGATATACACATTAGCTCGTTCTCTGATCCTGTTTCCTCGCCATAGATGGGGATAAGGGGAACTTTTTTGTACTCTAAAAAGTCTCGGAGGCAGGGCTAGCTGCTCTGAGGTAAATAACAGTCACTTTAGCGAGTTTTTCAATGCAGCAAAATCACACTGAAGCACAGTGGAGCTCCAAAACGCAGCAGCATTTATTTGTGGCTTTAAATTAAACTTAGCATAAAATAAGTAGAACTGGGGGAGGCCATGAGGAGTAGTAGCAGGAACAAATAGGGCACCTTCGCCCTTTTAAAAGCACATGGATCCTATTTGCCCCTAAAACATTTAACATTACAGCCTCAAACATGACAATATTTTACCATTATTGACCTTATTTTGCATAAAAATACATCATGATGCACTGATCTGAAGGTGGTGGCTTAACTGCATCAATTTGGGAAAGTTAGCATCAACATTACAAAACAGATTAATATTATAAACAGGCTGATTCAAATTTTAAGTCATTGTAAGATACTCGATGAACACATGACTCACACATTTGTTGAATTCTGTATTAATGTGCAAGTTATTAAAAACCATGCTGTTCATGGGGTATTTTTTTTTACCTTTATGCTGCTTGGCAACAATAGTATACTATTAATCTACTGCACTGTACATTGCAATCACATATTGTGATTATTATGAATAACATATTGTTTAATTAATTTATTGATCATTGGTGTATTTTGTCCTATCAACAGCTGTAATCACCACAAAATCATCACCATAACACATAACCTTCAGTAGCTTGTCGCTTCAATAATTGATTATTACAATATTCAATAAAGTATATGTTTTTGGACAATGAAAATATCAGGTATTATCAAGCATAAAAATGATGAAGAAAATCTGTAAAATTTGAGTCATTTAATTTAAATAAACACAAATGTCTGTGAAAAAGTTTACCATTTGTTTTGTGAATTTACATTCTGTTTCTGTAAATCAGCAGCAGCAGTGTTAGTTACATGCATTTAACCCTTTTTTCCCTCGACTGATCGTCAAATTTTTCAGTACTTTGACAGTGACAAAACCTTCTTTACAGTGTAAATAATCTTAATCGAATTAAATAGCTGTGATGCCAGAGAATTACACCCCTAATAGTGATTCTTCATCGTGTACAGTAGCTGAGGCTTTTTTCCTTTGTAACAGTGGAGGAAGGCCCTTCCTCCGCTACTTTACCTCGGGCTAGGCTGGCATACGTGGGCCCCGCACCCGAGCGCTCCCATAGCCTCACCGACCTGTCTGAGGCCCCGCTTTACCGGGCCGGAGTCTTTGGACTGCATGGTACGTCCTCAGCCTAGCACAGTGGAGGAATGTGTGTCTGCTGCAGAAGCCTGGCTACAGTTACGCTCAGCCTGTTCTGTAGAAGCCCTTTAGTTCCTCCAAGTGAATTAGAGCAGCAGAGATTGGCTTTATTTTTGCACATTTGTTTGTCTCTTTATTTTCTTTTCAGGCCTGCGCTGAAAAGGATCTTCTGTCATTTTTGGCACAATAATTTTCTCTTAAATTTCAAAAAGATTGTGACAGTTTTGAAGTGTGTCGTATAATTAAAGAGGGGCCTACAGAGCCAATATACACCTCTAGAGCATATAGTTTTCAATTATCATGTTTTTTTTATATGTTTATTTGTTTTTTAGTATATTTAACACAAATTGGCTGTAAGTTCTGTACTAGTTCAATGGAGGCAGATTTCTGCTCCCTCTAAAATAACACATGGCACTTTTTGAAAACTATGAAAATTAACTGTAATCACTCTGGAAGGGCCATAAAATAAACTGTGCAGAAAATGACTGAATTATCCCTTCATAGACGATACGCTTGTGTGCGCCCTTTTCCTGGACCAGCTACAGTACCTGAATGAAAGCATGACATACAATGTGCCCAATGGACCTGGGGAATGACCCTAAGGGAAAAATGGGGGAAATGCATTACATGTGGAGATATGGTGCCTTGGCTGGCCTACGCTAATCCACCCCCATCCTGAACCTGTTATTATAGCCTTCTCCACAGCGGTTATCTGCTTGGTTCCTCTCAGATGGAGCTGAAGGAACTCTCTCTGGCTCCTCTGTGGACTTTTCTTGCTTCAGTTATGAGTGACATAAAAATAACTGTAAAAACTATAAAAAGCTGGACTCTTTTTCACAATTTTGGCAGTTGGAGCTCATACCGGAGCAAAAATAAGCTACCCCCAGGCCAGCTGAGCCAGCTATATGTGCACTGACAAATTTAATACATTGAATTTACATGATTTAAATGTGTACATCATTTCTGCATGAATAAAATACAGAGCATCAACACAAGTATTGCCAAAAAGAAAGACAGTAGTGTTGATTTATATTGTATTTCTGTGGAAATGATGTACACATTTGAATGAATGAAATTCATTGCATCACTTTTCTCAGTGTGTGCGTGTGTCTATGTTCTTGCTGCTGTTGTTTGGCTGTAAGTGCAGCTCTTGGCCTTGTACTTGGTTCTCTAACTTGTAAGATTTTGTTGCTTTATAATGGGTTATATGAGGTTTAATGTTCTGTAGTGTTTGACTGTATTATGTGTTTGTGTTGGTGTGTGTGTGTGTGTGTGTGTGTGTGTGTGTGTGTGTGTATAGAAAAGCCCTTGTTTACGCGGGATCCCACCCAGTTGAAGGGGAGTTTTCTGTCCACGGCACTGCAGAAAAGCACTATGGGATTCGGCTTCACTATCATCGGCGGAGACGAGCCGGATGAGTTCCTGCAGGTGAAGAGCGTGATTCCAGACGGACCTGCTGCACAGGATGGCAAGATGGCTACAGGTACACACACATACACCATGGGTGTAACAATGGAGGGGCCTGCAGAGCCCCCAAGTTTCTGACTGCTCAAACAAAAGCCCCCCATGTGAACAAAAATGTCACATATATAATTAGTCTTGCACCTTTATAATACAGGATAAACCCAAAGGCGATACATTTGTGCATCCTTGTATCCAAATAAAAGTGACGTCCAAAGCTTTTCTTTGGTCATCACCAAGTTTTTGCAGCTGTTTGTTTACCATTGTACCATCAATGCTTTACGCCAATTCTGCAGTGAGGCTACGTCATTACTCTGCTCAACTGCTTCTGCAGGAAGCTGTGCTCATTCCTAGCATAGACTACTGCTTAGCCAGTGAGCTTGTTAGCCTCTTTCTGCAGGCCCTCTGGTAACCATTGTGCCATTGCCTCAGTGATATAATCAAATAAGTTATTTTCATCTGTAACTGTGTTAGCAGATTTATTAGGACACTGTTGACTCTCTGTGTGTGAAATGTTGTATTGAGCTGCTAGTGAGCAATAAGGGATGAGAGGGAAAGGGTTAGAGCCCCCTGCTGTGAAAAAATTCATAACTCTCTGCGTAGAAGGCCTCATTCATCAAAAAAAATCATTAAAAAAACAAGAACACTCTTATAAACGTTGACTTGATTGCTTACCTACAAATATAAAACTCCAGTTCAGAAGTCATACGTATTTGCAGTAATACATATTCCATGAACATTATTGAGGAAAACAAATGTATCAACCATTCGTTCCAGATATCTACTCCTAGTGCTGTAAAAAGTAGGACACTGGTTAATGATCCTTTACCTGCCGTGGTTTGCTGTCAGCTGTTATATTAACTAGGTTGATATATGCAAGGTCAGCAATTGACAAAAAGTATGTTTTCTCCATGATGGTAAAAAATCTGTAAAATTATAGTCGTTTCATTTATTAGAAATACTGTTTTTTACTGTAGTTCAACAGTTTCACATGTTCAACTAGTTATTCTGACCTACAGTATTTTACCATAATAATAACAGTAACAACCATTAAACTAAACGCAAATGGCTGTGAAATTAAAGTAATATTTTGTTTTTGTAAATTTACATTCTATTTCTGTAAGTTAACAGCATTGTTAAAATACAGCGAGTGTACTGTTTACTTACATGCATTTAACCCTTTTTCAGAAAACCTGTAGTGAACAATAAATTTTACAGTAATTTGACAGTGAAAATACCTTTTTTTCACAGTGTATATAATCTTAATCGAATTGAATAGCTGTGAGGCCAGATAATTACACCCCTAATTGTAATTCTGTTGTATTATGTATAATAGTTTGGGGTTTTGTCCTTTGTAAGGCCTACCTCAGGTACAGCCTGAGGTACAGTGGAGGAACAGTGGAGGAAGGCGGAGTTCCTCCACTGTACCTCAGGCTAGGCTGGCATACGTTGGCCCTGCACCCAAACGCTCCCATAGCCTCACCGACCTGTCATAGGCCCCTTTTTTACTAGTCTTCGGACCGCATGGTACGTCTTCAGTCTAGCACCCCCCTAGCACAGTGCAGAAATTTGTGCCTGCTGCAGAAGCCTGGCTACAGCAGAAGCTTCATTTTCCCCTACAGTTACACACAGACTGTTCTGTAGAAGCCCATTAGTTCTTTTAAGCAAATTAGAGCAGCAGAAAGTTTTTGCACATTTGTTTCTCTTTATTTTTTTTTTTTATGCCTGTGCTGAAAAGGATCTTCTGTCATTTTTGGCACATTTTTCTTATATTACAAAATGAATGCCAGGGAGGACTTGATGTCTTTTACAGGTGTTTTCATGATACTTGAAACAATGTAAAGACTGAACCTTGTATGAGTGCATTAATGGTTATCTTTACACACAATGTTTTAATCACAAATGTGAGCACCGTGTAGTCCTATTTAATCTGATTTATTATGGTGTCGCATTTTTCTGTCATGTTATTTGTCATTAGACATCATATTAATGATATTTTGCAAATCCAGTAATCCAGATAAAGTTTAGCTTACCTTAGAGCCAGCAAAAGTCTATCTGTTAATGATCTTGTTATTGAACTGTGAGTTTGGTTGGAGGTTAATCCAAAGCTTTTTCAGCTTTAGGAGAGGAATAAACTTCAGATGATCAGGATAATGTGTGTCAGGCATTATGCAGTCCTCAGGAACACCTTTCCACTATTTCTTAGTTTAATTAATAATTCTGACTCTGTCTAGTGAAGGAAGTTTATATATATATATAAATATATATATATATATATATATATACATATATATATAAGCAGTATATCATAATATAATATCAGGCATAACATTATGACCACCTCCTTGTTTCTACACTCATTGTCCATTTTATCAGCTCCACTTACTATATAGGTGCACTTTGTAGTTCTACAGTTACAGACTGTAGTCCATCTGTTTCTCTGCATACTTTGTTAGCCCCCTTTTACCCTGTTCTTCAGTGGTCAGGACCCCCATGGACCCTCACAGAACAGGTACTATTTGGGTGGTGGATCATTCTCAGCACTGCAGTAACACTGATGTGGTGGTGGTGTGTTAGTGTGTGTTGTGCTGGTATGAGTGGATCAGACACAGCAGCGCTGCTGGAGTTTTTAAACACTGTGTCCACTCACTGTCCACTCTATTAGACACTCCTACCTTGTCAGTCCACCTTGTAGATGTAAAGAGATGATAGTTCATCTGCTGCTGCACAGTTTGTGTTGGTCATCCTCTAGTCCTTCATCAGTGGTCACAGGACACTGCCCACAGGATACTGTTGACTGGATATTATGGGTTAGTGGACTATTCTCAGTCCAGCAGTGACAGTGAGGTGTTTAAAACTCCAGCAGCACTGCTGTGTCTGATCCACTCAGACCAGCGCAACACACACTAACACCACCACCACATCAGTGTTACTGCAGTGCTGAGAATGATCCACCACCCAAATAGTACCTGCTCTGTGAGGGTCCATGGGGGTCCTGACCACTGAAGAACAGGGTAAAAGGGGGCTAACAAAGTATGCAGAGAAACAGATGGACTGCAGTCTGTAACTGTAGAACTACAAAGTGCACCTATATAGTAAGTGGAGCTGATAAAATGGACAATGAGCATCGAAACAAGGAGGTGGTCATAATGTTATGACTGAGTGGTGTATATATGGGAATATTACTATTTCTATTTAGGGAAAATGTTAGCATAATTTATTTATACATATTTTTTAAAGTCAGCCATAGACAGACACACATACACACACACACACACACAGTTTGAGTTGAGGTTCAGTCAAACAGAGAACCCAGCTGGACAGTCTCTCTGATTCTCTGCCAGTGTCCACTCTAGTGCCAAGGTCGCAGAGTGCCTGTCTGTCAGTGTGTGTGTGTGTTCGTGTGTGTGTGTGTTCGTGTGTGTGTGTGTGTGTGTGTGTGTGTGTGTGTGCGCTGCCACATTTCCAGGCAGTTCTACACTGATGGGGGTTGAAAAAGCCCTGTGATTAATGGACAGACAGAGCACTGCAGATGACCTGTCCAGTTGGAACTGAACTGCGGCATTATTTTGCGCGCACACACACACACACACACACAAACACATTAAGTCTGTAAAGGCCTGATTCTGATTTTTACAGACGTAATAAACACACGTCAGCCTCTGAAACCGAACACACACATATTAACACCGTCTTTTACATCGTGTCCGAAACTGACAGACTAACACTACGAAAAATGTTTAATCGGAGCCAGCTTGATTTTCCGTGTTGTACAGATACACTAAAAATCAAAAACCAATCAGAGCTCTGAAGCACCATTAAAGAACCATTTTTGAGTATGCAGGAATCAAGCTTTACTCTGGCTTCACATCCACTAGTGTTTCTGTCCATCCTTCCACTGTGGGAAGAGCTCAACATCAAGAGTCTGAAATCATGTGTAGCTGTCAAAAAGCTGTTACTGAGAAAAGAATTAGACCAATAGATCCCACAGTTTTCTTTGAAAAATTAAAAGGGAAGTCTCCTGAAAAGAATAGAAGCTGTATTAAGGGCAAAATGTGGCCAAATTAAATACCGAAATGTATATTTTGTTGCTGAGGCTGTGTAACTTTTTGCTACATGAATGTTTTCTGCTTTTCATCCTGATGCTGAACAATTAATAACTTGTACTTAGTGGGCATTTTGATAATTAAATTAAATTAAATTAAATTAGGTGTTTTATGTGGCCTGTTTGTTTATCTTAGTGTGTCTTAGTCTTTTAATGTCTGGGCTTTTTTGTAGAATGGGGGGTAGCAGCTGCAGGCAGCTAATAATAATAAATTCATTTTTATGACAAGGTATCCATTTCATCATTTGTATGTCTTTCTTCCAAACAGCTGTATCATACTCTGAAATTTCTTTTTGGAAGAATATTGATTTTTGGAAGCAACGTTCTGCCAATAACATGAAAAACGACACAAATTATATTTAGAAAAATATTTATCCTTTTCTTCTTACTTGTTAGGTCCCTTGCAGCCCCTGTGTAATTGATTATACTGCTTATAGCAAGAAATGATCCTGCAACAGTAGTACTTGAAGAACAACCCACCCCTGCTTTGAGAGAGATGCGCATACATAATGTGGCCATACTGCACTGTACTATAGCGATGCTGCATGAATGACAGACACTCTGAGTGATCCATGCACTTCAACTGTAAAGCTTTTGAGATTATGGGCAAGTAACAGTCATGTCCTTTCCTCTTCTCTTCTCCACTTCTTTCCTCTCCTCTCCTCCTTCCCTGTGGACTCTGTGCCCTACTTGCAGTGTTCTGCACACACACACATAGAGAGAGAGGGAGAGATAAGGCTATGGAGGTTTAGACCTGGATAGGTGTGAAATACCAATTCCAGTAGGAATATGGCTGTCACTGAGTGGAGAAACACACACACACACATCTCCTGTGGTCACTCTGATGGTGCTTCAATGCTGCCCATCATATCACCATGGTCACTCAACTGAGATGAATGGAAAAACAGACAGTCAAG